ACAGGGGTCTGGGGTATGGAGAATAGAGAGACAGGGGTCTGGTGTATGAAGGACAGAGGGATGAAGGTCTGGGATAGGGAAGACATAGGGATGGGGGTCTGGGTATGGAGGACAGAGGGTCAGGGATCTCTGGTATGGAGGACAGAGGGACAGGGGTCTGGAGGATAGAGAAACAGGGGTCTGGGGTGCAGAGGAAAGAGGGACAGGGGTCTGTGGTATGGAGTTCAGAGGGACAGGGGTCTGGGGTTGAGGACAGAGGAACAGGGGTCTGGAGGACAGAACGACAGGGGTCTGGAGTATGGAGGACAGGGCTCTGGGGTATGGAGGACAGAAGGACAGGGGGCTGGGGTATGGAGGGCAGAGGGACAGGGGTCTGGGGTATGGAGGGCAGAGGGACAGGGGTCTGGAGAACAGATGGACAGGGGTCTGGGGGACAGGGGTATGGAGGACAGAGGGATGGGGTATGGGGAACAGGGGTCTGCAGTATGGAGGACAGTCTGGAGGAGATGGGGATGAGGGGTCTGGAGGACAGAGGGATGAGGGGTCTGGAGAACAGGGGGATGAGGGGTCTGGAGGACAGGGGGGAGGAGGGGTCTGGAGGACAGAGGGATGAGGGGTCTGGAGAACAGGGGGGATGAGGGGTCTGGAGGACAGAGGGACGAGGGGTCTGGAGGACATTGGGACGAGGGGTCTGGAGGACATTGGGACGAGGGGTCTGGAGGATATGGGGACGAGGGGTCTGGAGGACAGGGGGGACGAGGGGTCTGGAGGACAGGGGGGACGAGGGGTCTGGAGGACGGGGGGACTGGAGGACGGGGGGACGAGGGGCCTGGAGGACGGGAGGACGAGGGGCCTGGAGGACGGGGGGGACGAGGGGCCTGGAGGACAGGGGGGACGAGGGGCCTGGAGGACAGGGGGGACGAAGGGCCTGGAGGACATGGGGACGAGGGGCCTGGAGGACAGGGGGGATGAGGGGTCTGGAGGACAGGGGGGATGAGGGGGCCTGGAGGACAGGGGGGATGAGGGGTCTGTTGGACAGAGGGACGAGGGGTCTGGAGGATATGGGGACGAGGGGTCTGGAGGACAGGGGGATGAGGGGTCTGGAGGACAGGGGGATGAGGGGTCTGGAGGACAGGGGGGATGAGGGGCTGGAGGACAGAGGAGGGACGAGGGGCCTGGAGGACATGGGCCTGGGACGACGAGGGGCCTGGAGGACAGGGGACGAGGGGTCTGGAGGACATGGGGACGAGGGGTCTGGAGGACATGGGGATGAGGGGCCTGGAGGACAGGGGGGATGAGGGGTCTGGAGGACAGGGGGGATGGGGGGCTGGAGGACAGGGGGGATGAGGGGTCTGGAGGATATGGGGATGAGGGGTCTGGAGGACAGGGGGGACGAGGGGTCTGGAGGACAGAGGGGTCTGGAGGACAGGGGGGACGAGGGGTCTGGTGGACGGGGGGACGAGGGGTCTGGAGGACATGGGGACGAGGGGCCTGGAGGACAGGGGGGACGAGGGGTCTGGAGGGAGGGGACGAGGGGTCTGGAGGACGGGGGGACGAGGGGCCTGGAGGACAGGGGGGGTCGAGGGAGGGGGCTGGAGGACAGGGGGGACGAGGGGCCTGGAGGACATGGGGACGAGGGGCCTGGAGGACAGGGGGGATGAGGGGTCTGGAGGACAGGGGGGATGAGGGGCCTGGAGGACAGGGGGGATGAGGGGTCTGGAGGACAGGGGGATGAGGGGTCTGGAGGACAGGGGGATGAGGGGTCTGGAGGACAGAGGGGTCTGGAGGACAGAGGGGACGAGGGGTCTGGAGGACAGGGGGACGAGGGGTCTGGAGGACATGGGGACGAGGGGTCTGGAGGACATGGGGACGAGGGGTCTGGAGGACATGGGGACGAGGGGTCTGGAGGACATGGGGGACGAGGGGTCTGGAGGACATTGGGACGAGGGGTCTGGAGGATATGGGGACGAGGGGTCTGGAGGACAGGGGGACGAGGGGTCTGGAGGACGGGGGGACGAGGGGTCTGGAGGACGGGGGGACGAGGGGTCTGGAGGACGGGGGGACGAGGGGTCTGGAGGACGGTGGGACGAGGGGCCTGGAGGACGGGGGGACGAGGGGTCTGGAGGACGGGGGGGATGAGGCGGAGCTCTAAGATCACATAACCATCATTTAACATTATGGGCCCTTTGCCGCTCTGTACCCTGTCGGCTTTGTCTGTACTCAGTAAAGTTTTGTAAATGAAAAAAAAAAAGATCTGGTATTGCCGTCTCTTCTCGCGGGTTTTTTAGCTCACCAGGGAGAGATCTCGCGAGACAGTCTATTGTCTTCAGGAGACCTCCGCCGTTCTCGCGAGACATATCCACCGTGTGGAGACGGAGGAGTCGGAGGTGCTGATGGCGACGGCAGTCATGTTGGTGAGTGGGATCCTTGGAGTCCATATGACCGGGGAGCCCGGGTCTGATATGTGTGGGGGCGGGGAGTTCATATGTTATCTGTACAGGCCTCGCCGCACACTTATGGCGCTGACATGGGCTGTAGAGACGTTTATACAGAAGAGATCATGTGGGGGGGGGGAAATGTGTACCTTCATCATCGTCTCTGTACCAGAGGAGCTTACACACTATTATACATTTATATAGCTCTGATGTATACTGCAGCGCTGTACAGAGAACACGTCACATCAGTCTCTGCACCAGAGGAGCTTACACTCTAATGTCCCCTCCCCCACAGTCACATCAGTCTCTGCACCAGAGGAGCTTACACTCTAATGTCCCCTCCCCCACGGTCTTATCAGTCTCTGTACCAGAGGAGCTTACACTCTAATGTCCCCTCCCCCACAGTAACATCAGTCTCTGTACCAGAGGAGCTTACACTCTAATGTCCCCTCCCCCACAGTAACATCAGTCTCTGTACCAGAGGAGCTTACACTCTAATGTCCCCTCCCCCACAGTCACATCAGTCTCTGTACCAGAGGAGCTTACACTCTAATGTCCCCTCCCCCACAGTAACATCAGTCTCTGTACTAGAGGAGCTTACACTCTAATGTCCCCTCCCCCACAGTCAGTCTCTGCACCAGAAGAGCTTACACTCTAATGTCCCCTCCCCCACAGTCACATCAGTCTCTGCACTAGAAGAGCTTACACTCTAATGTCCCCTCCCCCACGGTCGCATCATCAGTCTCTGTACCAGAGGAGCTTACACTCCAATGCCCCCTCCCCCACGGTCCCATCAGTCTCTGTACCAGAGGAGCTTACACTCCAATGCCCCCTCCCCCACAGTCACATGCTATTATTATACATGTATATATCTCTGACATATACCGCAGCGCTGTACAGAGATCTGAGGCTATATACAGTGTATGCAGCTCCCCACTATTATACTCCAGTGATGTGCACAACAGCTGCCTCCCTCTCAGCTCTCTTCACCCTCATTGGCTGAGACACAATCCCAGCCAGAGGGGAAAAGGCAGGGCTGAGCTGTGCTCTGTGTGTGTCTAAGGACACACACAGCCGGCTTGGAAGTGAACACATGCAAGTGCCTCATAGTGAGGGTGTTATGGGGTCATCCGGCGGAGGAGAGGAGCCAGGAGAGCCGGCGGGGCACCCAAGAAGAGGATCGGGAGGAGAGGACCCAGGAGAGCCGGCGGGGCACCCAAGAAGAGGAGGATCGGGAGGAGAGGAGCCAGGAGAGCCGGCGGGGCACCCAAGAAGAGGATCGTGAGGAGAGGAGCCAGGAGAGCCGGCGGGGCACCCAAGAAGAGGATCGGGAGGAGAGGAGCCAGGAGAGCCGGCGGGGCACCCAAGAAGAGGATCGGGAGGAGAGAGAGCCAGGAGAGCCGGCGGGGCACCCAAGAAGAGGAGGATCAGGAGGAGAGGGGCCAGGAGAGCCGGCGGGGCACCCAAGAAGAGGAGGATCAGGAGGAAAGGGGCCAGGAGAGGCGGCGGGGCACCCAAGAAGAGAGGAGAGGGGCCAGGCGGGGCACCCAAGAAGAGGATCGGGAGGAGAGGGGCCAGGAGAGCCGGCGGGGCACCCAAGAAGAGGATCGGGAGGAGAGGAGCCAGGAGAGCCGGCGGGGCACCCAAGAAGAGGAGGATTGGGACTGCTCTGTGCAAAACCATTACACAGCAGGTAAGTATAGAATGTTTATTATTTAAAAAATAAAAAAGTTTGCATTTACAATCGCTTTGAAGCGATTTTAACCATTAGCCGCCCGGCCTATAGCCGTTTGGCGGCGGCAAAAATGTATTGCCTTTCCGGGTGCGCGCCAGTTCGCGTTGTTGCAGAGCTGTCACTGGCCGTGTATCTCGGACACGGCCGATGACAGATTTGAGTACCGGCCCCCCGTGCCATGTGACCTGCTGTGACCAATCACAGCAGGTCACATGACAGTTCTATACAATGGATGGCTTCATTCATGCCATCCATTGTATACTAGTGTCCTAGCTGTGAATGGTCAAAGCAGATCACATGCACATGTCATGTGATTAGCTGTGGCCAAATCACAGCTAAGCACACAAAAAAAAAAAAACCTGAATGAATCGATGTCATTCAGGGAAATGCTTGCTTATAGCAAAGTAATTCTTTGCTATAAGCAAATTGTGTAAAAAAAAAATACTGATCACTTCCCCAAAGTAATACAATGTTACTATGGTAACATTGTACTACTTTGGTCATAGTAAATTATGAAAAAATAATCTTAAAAAAAAAAAAAAAAAAAAAAAAAATGTAATAAAAAAAAAATATATATATATTTTTTTTTTTCATACTGTCACCAGTCAGTGTCCCTGTTCACCGCCATGCCAGTTATATGATGACGCTGTACTGCACTGGTGACAGTATGTAAAAAAAAAAATAGTGAAAATAATTTTTTTAATTTTTTCATTTTCCGAAAAATGATGACAAAACAAATACAACTTCAAAAAACTCGCCATGCCTCTTATGAAGTCCGTCGGACTGTCTACTCTGCAAAAAGGGGTCATTTGGGGGATATCTGTACTGTCCTGACATTTGGGGGATATCTGTACCGTCCTGACATTTGGGGGATATCTGTACCGTCCTGACATTTGGGGGATATCTGTACCTGTCCTGACATTTGGGGGATATCTGTACCGTCCTGACATTTGGGGGACATCTGTACCGTCCTGACATTTGGGGGATATCTGTACCGTCCTGACATTTGGGGGATATCTGTACCGTCCTGACATTTGGGGGATATCTGTACCGTCCTGACATTTGGGGGACATCTGTACCGTCCTGACATTTGGGGGGTACATCTGTACCGTCCTGACATTTGGGGGATATCTGTACCGTCCTGACATTTGGGGGATATCTGTACCGTCCTGACATTTGGGGGATATCTGTACCGTCCTGACATTTGGGGGGATATCTGTATCTGTACTGTACCGTCCTGACATTTGGGGGACATCTGTACCGTCCTGACATTTGGGGGACATCTGTACCGTCCTGACATTTGGGGGACATCTGTACCGTCCTGACATTTGGGGGACATCTGTACCGTCCTGACATTTGGGGGACATCTGTACCGTCCTGACATTTGGGGGACATCTTTACCGTCCTGACATTTGGGGGACATCTGTACCGTCCTGACATTTGGGGGACATCTGTACCGTCCTGACATTTGGGGGACATCTGTACCGTCCTGACATTTGGGGGACATCTGTACTATTCTGACATTCTTGGACCTCAAGAAATTAGATTGGCTGTCAGTACTTCAGGGTTGATCAATATTCAGATCTATCCCATAGTTTGTGAACTCTATAACTTTCCTACAAACTAAATAATACATCCTAATTTGGGTTATTTTCACCAAAGACATGGAGCAGAATACATCTCGGCCTAAATTTATGAAGAACAATTATTTATTTGTAAACTTTTATAACAGAAACAAAGAAAAATGTGTTTTTTTTTTCAAAATGTTTGGTCTTTTTTTGTTAATTTAGCAAAAATTAAAAACCCCAGCGGTGATTAAATACCACCAAAAGAAAGCTCTAGTTGTGTGAAGAAAATTATAAAATTTTAGTTTGGGTACAATGTTGTATGACCGCGCAATTGTCATTCAAAGTGTGAGAGCGCTGAAACCTGAAAAATGGCCTGGGCAGGAAGGGGGTGAAAGTGCCCGGTATTGAAATGGGGTTAAATGATTCTTTTTTCTTTCTTTTTTTTTTTACATAACAAACATGTCTATACTTACCTGCTCTGTGCAGTGGTGTTGCACAGAGCAGCCTCGATCCTCCTCTTCTCATGTCCCCCCGCCTGCGCTACTGGCTCCTCCTTCCGTTTGGGTGTCCCCAGAGCGCACTCCCCAGCTGCTGCTCCATGTGTCCAATCACACACAAAGCTGTGGAGGCTTGGCCTTGGCCCCACATCTTGGTTGTTGTCTCAGCCAATGAGGAGAGGGAGTCCCGGGATAGCCAAGACTCCAGTGCACATCGCTAGATTGAGAGGGGGCTTAGGTGAGTGTTCGGGGGCTGGGGGGGGGGGGGGTGCTGCACACAGGTCTTTTACTTTAATGCATGAAGATAAAAAAAAAACCTTGAGCCTTTCCAACCACTTTAAGAATGAGACGACTGATGATTGTTGTAGCCGGTAATAATCTGTGACTGTGCCAGCTTTCAGTGGATTCAGGTGTTCCAATCCCCTCCATATCATGTGATTCAGGTGTTCCAATCCCCTCCATATCATGTGATTCAGGTGTTCCAATCCCCTCCATATCATGTGATTCAGGTGTTCCAATCCCCTCCATATCATGTGATTCTGGTGTTCCAATCCCCTCCATATCATGTGATTCTGGTGTTCCAATCCCCTACCAATCATGTGATTCAGGTGCTCCAATCCCCTCCATGGACACAGGTGTATACAATCAAGCCCCTAGGCATGCAGACGCTTCTACAAACATTGGTGAAAGAATGGGTCGCTCTCAGGAGCTCAGTGACTCCAAGCGTGGTCCCGTGATAGGTGGCCACCTGGGCAATAAGTCCATCCGTGACATTTCCTGGCTACTAAATATTCCACGCTCAACTGTTAGTGGGATTATAACAAAGTGGAAGCCACTGGGAACAACAGCCACTCAGCCACCAAGTGGTCGGCCACGTCACATGACAGGGCGGGGTCAGCGCATGCTGAAGCGCACAGTGCGCAGAAGTCGCCAACTGTCTGCAGAGTCAATAGCTAAAGACCTCCAAACTTGGTGTGGCCTTCAGATGAGCCCAACAACAGTGCGTAGAGAGCTTCATGGAATGGGTTTCCATGGCTGAGCAGCTGCATCCAAGCCTTCCATCACCAAGTGCAATGCAAAGCGTCGGATGCCGTGGTGTAAAGCACGCCGCCACTGGACTCTAGAGCAGAGGAGACGTGTTCTCTGGACTGACCAATCACACTTCTCTGGTAATCCGATGGACATGTCTGGGTTTGACGGTTGCCAGGAGAACGGTACTTGCCTGACTGCATTGTGCCAAGTGTAAAGTTTGGTGGAGGGGGGATTGTGGTGTGGGGTTGTTCCTCAGGGGTTGGGCTTGGCCCCCTAGTTCCTGTGAAGGGAACTCTTAAGGCGACATTTTGGACAATTTCATGCTCCCAACTTTGTGGGAAGAGTTTGGGGATGGCCCCTTCCTGTTCCAACATGACTGCCCACCAGTGCACAAAGCAAGGTCCATAAAGACGTGGAGGAGCCAGTTTGGGGTGGAGGAACTTGACTGTCCTGCACAGAGTCCTGACCTCAACCCCATAGAACACCTTTGGGATGAATTAGAGCGCAGACTGCGAGCCAGGCCTCCTCCCCCGACATCAGTGCCTGACCTGACAAATGTGCTTCTGGAAGAATGGTCCAACCTTCCCATAGACACCCTCCTAAACCTTGTGGACGGCCTTCCCAGAAGAGGTGAAGCTGTTATAGCTGCAAAGGGCGGGGCCAACTAATATTGAACCCTACGGACTAAGACTGGGGGGCCATTAAAGGTCATGTGTGTGGAAAGGGCGGGGCCAACTCAATATTGAACCCTACGGACTAAGACTGGGGGGCCATTAAAGGTCATGTGCGTGTGGGAAGGCCGGCCGACCAATACTTGGGGCAATATAGTGTCTACCGATGCAGCACTACCCTCAGTATTTCGGATAGGTCATGAGGTCTGGATCCATGCTGTCACTGCACTGGGCCCTGATACTAGCAGAGTTTTTAGCTACACTAAATAAAGATGGCGGAGGTCTGCGCCTGCACTGCACAATTGCTGCCGGTAACATGACCCAACCATGCTGGATTTGTCGCGACCCAGAACCGGAGCATTGTGGGGCCAGATTGTTGCAATTGACTAAATTGGCCCTACTGTTTGTCTGCTTCAGTGTGGGGGGACATTAGAGTGTAAGCTCCTCTGGTACAGAGACTGATGGGACTGTGGGGGAGGGGACATTGGAGTGTAAGCTCCTCTGGTACAGAGACTGATGGGACTGTGGGGGAGGGGACATTGGAGTGTAAGCTCCTCTTGTACAGAGACTGATGGGACTGTGGGGGAGGGGACATTAGAGAGTAAGCTCCTCTGGTACAGAGACTGATGGGACTGTGGGGGAGGGGACATTAGAGAGTAAGCTCCTCTGGTACAAAGACTGATGTGACTGTGGGGGAGGGGACATTAGAGTGTAAGCTCCTCTGGTACAAAGACTGATGTGACTGTGGGAAGGGGGGGGGGGGGGCATTAGAGTGTAAGCTCTTCCGGTACAAAGACTGATGGAACTGTGGGGGAGGGGACATTAGAGAGTAAGCTCCTCTGGTACAGAGACTGATGGGACTGTGGGGGAGGGGACATTAGAGAGTAAGCTCCTCTGGTACAGAGACTGATGGGACTGTGGGGGAGGGGACATTAGAGAGTAAGCTCCTCTGGTACAAAGACTGATGTGACTGTGGGGGAGGGGACATTAGAGTGTAAGCTCCTCTGGTGCAAAGTGATGTGACTGGCTCAGTGTTCTCTGTACAGCGCTGCGGTATATGTCAGAGCTATATAAATGTATAATAATAGTGTGTGACTGTGGGGGAGGGAGCATTAGAGTGTAAGCTCCTCTGGCACAGAGACTGATGTGACTGTGGGGGAGGGGACATTAGAGAGTAAGCTCCTCTGGTACAAAGACTGATGTGACTGTGGGGGAGGGGACATTAGTGTGTAAGCTCCTCTGGTACAGAGACTGATGGGACTGTGGGGGGAGGGGACATTAGAGTGTAAGCTCCTCTGGTACAGAGACTGATGGGACTGTGGGGGAGGGGACATTAGAGTGTAAGCTCCTCTGGTACAGAGACTGATGGGACTGGCTCAGTGGTCTCTGTACAGCACTCTGGGGGGGGGGTACAGGGACTGATATTACTGGTTCTCTGCACAGCACTGTGGAATATACAGTCCAGTGTATATGACATGATATAGATATCTAGTGCTCTGCTTTTCATGCAGTCTGTGTATTTTCCCTTTTACCCATTTCAGCCCCAAGCCATTTCTGGCACTTTTTGTTGACGTGTTAATTATTATTATTACACAGGATTTATATAGCGCCAACAGTCTGCGCAGCTCTTTACAAAATGAAAATCAGTATTTATGGCTAGAAAATGTCTTAAAACCCCCCAAACATCCACTTTTTTTTTTTTTAAAAGCAGAAGCCCTAAAGAATAATTGAAGGTTTTTGCATTTTTTTTGTGTCACCCAGCATCTGCACAGCGGTTTTTCAAATGCAATTTTTGGGGAAAATTACACTTTCTTTGCATCTTAGTGCAAAAAAAAAAAAAAAACATGCCCACTTTTTTTGTAAACTATAAAGGATGATGATGCCGAGTAAATAGATACCAAACATGTCAGGCTTTAAAATTGCGCACGCTCATGCAACAGGGAACAATACCATAAATTTTACTATTCATAGGTGATGCTTTAACCAGCTCCCGTCCGGCCCATGTATATAAACGGCCGGACGGTGGCAGTACAGGGGCGGGTGGCCGTTTATAAATGTCCTCCCCGCACCCTGCTTGTGCGTGCTCCCTGGGAGCGCGCAGCACCGCGATCCGGTGTCCTCCGGACACAGTGGAACACCGATCGTTGGACGGAACCTCTATGTGAGGTTCCGATCCTGTGATCACTGTTTGGCCAATCAATGATCACATGCAGAGTAGTAAGCAAGATGTCACTTTTGACATCATTGCTTACTACGTGTGAAATCTGTGAGTGATCAGAGATCACATGGTACAGGGCTATTCACAACAGCCCTGTACCATGTGACAAGCTGTGACCAATCACAGCTTACACTGTAGTTCTCAGTGGCTGCAAGAATGTACTGTACTGCCAGGTGGAAGTGCTAACCATTTAGCCACGGTGCTGCCCAGCCATTTAGCCACGGTGCTGCCCAGCCATTTAGCCACGGTGCTGCCCAGCCATTTAGCCACGGTGCTGCCCAGCCATTTAGCCACGGTGCTGCCCAGCCATTTAGCCACGGTGCTGCCCAGCCATTTAGCCACGGTGCTGCCCCGCCATTTAGCCACGGTGCTGCCCAGCCATTTAGCCACGGTGCTGTCACTGATCCTTATGCCCAGCTGCTGGGATCGTTGAATGGGTTCTCAGGTAACCACCAAGCAGCGGCGAGGGGCGGGGTTATTTTCAGCACCTGTATCGGTGCTTATTTTCATATCGGCTAAAGGCCGATGGGGGTGTTTTCAACCAAAACGTTTCGGCCACCAAAATTCTGGTGCATCGCTTAAAAAAAAAAAAAAAAAAAAAAAAGATTTGCATTGCTCCGCCTACTGTTCTGAAATGAGACGTAATCTGATTTTTGGGATTTTAGCTGGAATGGGATATGGGAATATCTTTTCTTTTTAGAAGGCTTCGCTGTGCTCCTCTGGTGTGTACAGATCAACAAACGTCTGTCTTGTGGTGGTGGTGGCGGGTGGACGTCTGCTGGAACAGAACACTCTGATTGTAGCAAGCAATGTCATAGTTTTGCCAGCACATTCCCAGCAAGTAATAGGTTGCAGCTTGTGGTTTGGTCCATGTGCTGCTGGTATTGTGGGGAGTGCTGAGAAACTAAACAAGAAGCCTGATAATTGGGTCAGCCTGCTCACTTGGAATGTAGCCCCCCCTGCTGGTCTTTTATAGCATTGCCACTGAGGACTTGCAAGCAGGTGTTGCCTGGATCTGAGCTCCGATGTTCTGCAGACGCTCGTTTTGGTGCAGGTTTGCATGACTGACATGCGTGAAAAATAACATCGGTCAGCCCTGGTTCACACTACATATGCATTCACCACTGCGCGCGAGCGTGGGGGGGACGGGGGCACTTTAAAGTGGAGTTCCATTGAATATCGAAAAAAATAAGTCAGCAGCTACAAAAACTGTAGCTGCAGACTCTTAAAAAAAAAATGGACACTTACCTGTCCCTTGATCCCACGGTGTCGTCCTCGCAGCCCGTTTCACCAGCCGCCCTGCGTTCCTGGTTCCGGCATCTTCAGTGTGGGCACCCGGCTGTGACAGCTTTCGGCTTCAGAGCTGGGTACCCACTGCACATGTGCGAGTAGCGCTGTGCTTTGTGAATGGTACCGTAGTCTTCGTTTTTTTTACGTGTATTTGCGTTTTAAATCTGCCTAGCAACAAGAAAAATGAAAAAAAAAAAAAAAACCGCTTGCGGCTTCGGGATATTAAAGCGGAGTTCCAGCTGAAAAGAAAAAAAAATAAAAGTCAGCAGCTACAAAAACTGTAGCTGCTGACTTTTAAAATACAGACACTTCACCGGCCGTCTTCTCTCCCCGGTACCGGCATATTCAGTGTGGGCACCTGGCTGTGACGGCTTGCAGCTTCACAGGTGCCCACTGAGCATGTGCGAGAAGCGATGCGATTTGTAAATAGCCTTGTCTTCTGGGACCTGTCGCATGTCCCAGAAGGCTATGGGGAGGGGGGGGGGGGACACAACTTCTGCTTACGATCGCCTAGGCAATGGGAGTGAGCACCTGTCAAATTCGGGTACCCACTTCCATCATCCTCCCGACCCCCATCCCCCCCCCCCCCGCTCCCCAAAAGATCCGGTCCTTTACCCCTTGGTGGCTCCGGTGCCTCCTGGCCCTTTAAGGGTTTCAGAAGGCGGGGTTTAGGGTTATGTGACCGCCGTGACACGCCTTCACATGATCAGGGAAGGTCCCGATCGAAAGAGGAGATCCGGGACCTTTTCGTGAGTACCGGTGTGCACTCTCTGCATGTTGTTTTTTTTTTTTTTTTTTTTTTTTTTTTTTTTTTTTTTTTTTTTTAAAAGAACGCAAATGTGT